CTTCCGTTGCAGAGATACGTGTTAAATAATTCTTTAGCCGATTTGGTGTTCCCTTGGAGATTTACTCTGACCAAGAACGAAACCTCGAGTCAACCCTTTTCCAAAACGTTTGTTAATTGATTGGTGTCAATAAAACCAGAACGACACCACTGCATCCTCAATCAGATGGAATGGTCGAGAGGACGAACCGAAACAGAGGGTAAACACCTATCCAAAAGTTTTATTAGAACATCAAAGAGATTGTTATCACTACATCCATTTATTACTAATGACCTACTACTGGGCGGTGAATGAAACTACAGGAGAGACTCCAACATTCATGAACTTGCCCTCCAACACATCCAGTTAGCCAGTGACAGAATGAAAGATCAATATGATTTTAAATGCAAGTGTTGCCGAGAGGCGTCGGCTAAGGCTCTTTGGTCCATAACGGGCTCGACGAGCTTCTTACGGTCCGGGTAACTGGACCTAGTGCCCACCCTTTTTATTCTTGCAGTTCCTGCAATATTACAAGTCTTAGGGTATTAAATCTCAGGTGTATGCTCTATAGCGTGACTATCACTAAAGCTATAATAAACTAAAAGAAAGAATGGTGTACAAGGTAATGTGCAACAAATATCAGAATAGATAAAATTAAAAATGACTCGGATATTCGGCTTACAAGCGGAGATATCTCGAGGAGAAGTAAAAATGCAATATAAATATATATATATATATATATATATATATATATATATGTATATATATTTATATATATATATATATATATAAACAAATAAACAATAAAATGGTACAAAACAAGACAGAAAATGTATACGAGAAAGTATATTATTCTCTAAAATCGAAATATCGAACAATCAAAATGCAACAATATATATATATATATATATATATATATATATATATATATATTATATATATATATATATATATATATATATATATATATATATATATATATATAAAATGGATACGTTTCAGTGCAAGCAGAGATTCCGCAGAAACAGTACAACAATAAAATTCACAAAAAAATATTACTAAAATATCAACAATCAAATATAGAGTCAGAAAATATGGTAAAATAAAAATTCAAAAACTAGGTGGTGAAACCTCAATACTCCGGGAGTATTGGATTTTAGGAAGTGTAGAACTTACGAATTTCAGAGGAACTAGAAGAGAAGTGATGAAAAATACTAAAAATATGGCTAAGCTCAGAGGAACAAATTTAAATGGCCAAAGAGACACTAAATCTCAAATGAGTGTTCGGGCTAGCTTCAATGCACTGAATTGTGGCTTTAAAGATATAAAGCAGATAGCAAGGATAATGAGCTTATGAGACAAGAAACGAAATGAGACCTGTTAATATCAAACGTGATACAACTAAAGAAGGTCAATGGGAATAAATTTATAGAAAAAGGACGATAAGAATAGAAGAAGAAGGGTGCCAACTCAACGATAGTTGAGATTTTGAAGTAACAAATGACTGGAAACAAATAATACTGGAGATAATAACCTGAAATACTAAATACTAATCACGTCTTGCTATATTATATACTGGTTGGTAGAAACTGAAATAAAACTCAAAATAGTAACAATCAATGTATTTGTAAAAATGTGTATATAGATATATATGTACTAACAATTTACATATAATGCAAAACTAAATAACAGTGGTAGTGGGTGGTGTAAAGATACAATAGGACCTAATAGCCCCTCAACAAGCGAATAGTCACTACCACTGGCCAAATAAAGTGTGAAATATTAGTAAAAACCTAGAATAGTCCGTATGGTAGTCAAAGTCTTAACACTAAAAGTTAGTAATTTAATTTAACTTAGTTCTACTAGAATGAGATACAAGTGACAGTATGGTAAAGATATCAAAATTGATAAATCTAGTACCATTTATATCATAGATAAAAAGTGAGTTGTTACATATTCCTTATATAATGTTTTAAAAACCACATGAAATTTATTTCCCTCTCCAATATCAAAATTGTATTATATCAAAATGTATTGTATTAAAAAAAGTATTATATCAAAAAGTGAGTTTGGTCAGACTCTTTATATCCTATTTAAAAAACCTAATAAAAACATGAAATGTATTTTCCCTCCCCAATATTTTAGAATTATATTATATCAAAAATGTATTCACCTGATCATATGCATATGAAAAGTGTACACTACTAAATAGAAAGTAACAAAAAGGTTAGACAGTCAAACAACTTATCTTTACAGCACTTTAAGTCCATAGGAAAACTCCTCTTGGCACGGCTAAATCAGTTTGTTGCTGTAAAGGACAAATCGCAGGGTAGTCTGGGCACAAAACCAGTCACTGGTCTATCTGCTCGGAGTGACGGCAAAATCCACGAGAGTTGCTAACTATTTAAGAAATTCTGTTACTAACGAATATCCTTGAGGGAATATTCTTAAGTGAATACTCTCAAGTGACGGAATCTAAAATAATTATCAGATTTAATTTCTATGTAATTTAATAGGTGTAGCAGCATGGATTGACTGCACCAAAACAAAACATCAATCATTAGGTTAGGTCAACATGTCAAAATTTCTGAAGTTACTTCGTAGACATGAAAGGTTTGCGCCATGAAATGAAAATGCGCAGAATACATAAGGCTGTTCAATAATTGTAGAGCCTATTATGTTCCACCAAAAAAAGTTAGAGAAAAAAACGAAAACAAAAAACCCTTATGATACGTAGACTAAAACAGAATTTAAGTTTGACTATATAAAAAATTACCTTATGTTCTTTGCGAGTGAATCAAGGAAATTTTAAATTTAAATTATTTCGGAACTCAAAAATAAATCTCTAAAGAAATACTAAACTGCAATGATAAATTTGATTATATGATAAAGAGATAATACGTATGAAATTATTTACTTACATGGAGCCGCAGCACGCCAAAAAAATCTTCCTTTTTATGTGGAACTCTTATAAATGAATCTTGATTTTAAAAATTAATTATTATTATTATTTTATTCTTACCCCAGATTATCTTTCTTGTTCCAATTCCGTCTCTTTAAACGTGAGAAAATTTCACTGATTGACGTGTCTGCGCTGAGTTCTGACCAGAAACTAACGGCTTCCGCACAGACTCGACCAATCTTCCTTTCAAAGCGACTCCTGCGCGTGTGTGGAAAGATGTCGATGTAAAAATTGATCGCGGGCGGGTCACAAGAAGTTTCGTGAGGGGTTTTATTATTACAAATTTTAACTCTGATAATATTGCACTAAACAGTAGCGTAAACGCTACAGTGGATGACTAAGCACCGTACCTAGAGTCTTCAAGTACGAGAGAAAGCTCGATCTGGCCGATGATAGAAAATGCACCTTCTTTTTTAGACGAAAATCCTTGGTTCTTTAGGATTATTACGTAGTAAGATGCATTTTCTAAACATCGAACCAATAGGAAATTTAAATTACCGAAAAATTGGAACTACAATGATTTCCAATCAATGGGCAATTTTTCCTGTTTGTGGAGATGTGTCCGGTACGCTGATTGGCTAATGCATGCCAGCGCTTGGCGACACAATAATGAAAGCTATAAAGTAGGTTATCTCATTTGGCTATATAATCCACAACATTGTCGTGGCTTGTCTGCTTGACGTAAAATACAAAAACAATGGGAAAGTCTGTATAAAATTAAGAAGAAAACAAATGAGGTAATATCCCCAATTAAGAAGTTGACGAAAGGTAAATCAAAAGTAGTTCACATAAATTCTCTTGCGCCTTATGCTGGCTCAAATAAAACAGAAGAAGTTCGAACCCTTTAGCACGAAATCAAAGATGACTGGCGACCAAGCCTTAATGAATTTATGTCAAATTACGCAGGGAGAAAGAGTACTAGATTCGGCGTGACCACAGAAGTTCAGCAGGATCTTTTTAGTGTTCTACATAACGTCTCTTTAGCCCAGTGTATTGCCAAAGATCTTGGGATGACTAAAGGAATCTCGTCCGTAATCTATAAGAAGTGCGGTCGTTTGGACGTGTTAAAACATCAGCAGCCTAAAGTTAGAAGAGTATTGAGATTAGAAGATGGTTCTCGATCTTTGCTGTATATGGTGACCAGAAAGTCGTATACAAACAAGGCAAGCTACGAGTATAGATGGCATGCTCTAACTAATTTTAAGATAATTGTGTGCAATTATGATATCTAGCATTTGGCCTTACACAAGATAGGTCACGCACTAGAGACACTGGATTGGAAAATTGTCAGAAGCATGCTTGAAGTGATCTTTCGAGAAACCGGCGTACGAATTACTGTGTGTTGTATTAAACCGAAGAGATGGTGTCGTTCAAAGACAGTAAACTGTTATTTCTTTCTGAGAAGTTTATGCAGAGCTGGAGAGTTCTGTAGATTCCGCCATCCTGGGCCTTTATATAAAGTTGCTGATGGGACGTTCAGATCTAAGACGGGAGCAATGTAACGAAATAGTTCACCTTCGATGTATTTGTCACAATTCTTAAAAGGATGAATCTAGAATATTTAATCGTTGCGGTCTAAATAGGGCATGTCCACGATGCGCTCCCGACTAGAAGAATAAAGGTGGACTACTCCAGAAGATTCTGGAATAATTCTTTTGGTATATATTTATATGCAGCGCTGTTATGCATTAAGTTTAATTGATAAAATACTATCGTGCTGTAAACATATATATATATATATATATATATATATTATATATATATATATATATATATATATATATATATATATATATATATATATTTACATCAATTAGAACCGCTCGTTTGATATTTAAACTCACTACAATATTAAAATCATTTTCTGTACCAGGAACTTTAGGAAGATAATATCCCTAACAATTGATTTAGGTTTAATAAAATTCATAAATAATTTTATTGTTTTATAGTTTTTGCGTTGTTATTTTTTTACATCGATTTCTTATTTTTAATTAATATTGTGAGCAAAACAATAATTGTTTTTATTTACCTATAAAAGAAGCTTGATCAATTTAAATATTCATTTAATTAAAAGTGAATTACTTCCAGTATGAAAAAAATAATATTTGTCTGTTTAATTTTTGCGATTGCACCACTTCAGTGCGTTTCGCAATATACAAATGGTAAGTAATCGCTGTTTTCCTAAGTTTGATTTTAGTTGTCATCTGCAGTACTATTTTAGCAATTTTTTTTATTAATTTGATGTTCGATGGGTTCCGAATATAATTTTTTGTAAACTTAAAGTAAAAATTTTTTGACTATCGATTTTAAAGAATTTTATTTGCAATAAATATTTAGAACATTTTTGGAAGTATTTTTTTTCTCTTCCCATTTTTATTTTCATAGGTTAATAATGTAACTGTTTTAATATTTTTTTGTTTTTCATGGAAACCATTTGTTTCTTTCATCAGTCGTACTGCAGTCATTTGGCTCATTATGAAATGTACATCTTCCATGCCTTTATAATAACTATTCCAGGATTCTGGAACCCTCTATAACCTTATACAGTTCGAATGAGTAACTATATGTTTCTTGAGCAACTTGGTTTGCTCCAAAAAGTGTTTGCCGCCTGCAATTGAACGCCTCGCTGTCACGAAAAATGTGATTGACTGTTTTAGTTTCTGTGCTGCAGCGTCTGCAGATTAAGTCTTAATGTTAGGACCCTTAAGCTAACGGGGACAAATGAGCGAAATCCAATTTAACCTATGTAATATTTTTTCACAAATTTTTTACTAATTTATTACCACCCTAATAATTTTTCACCACTAAAGCACCCTTAATGGAAGCGATTCTGCTGGCTTAAGGTTTAAGCTAGCAGAATTCAGAAACAAAAACATGGCATATTTTTTTACCCATTTTTCAGTAATCTATTACGACCCTAATAATTTTTCACTACCAAATCACCCTTAAGGGGAGCGATAATATTTATGATATGCCACAGTGCTCTGCTAGATTTTTATGTTATTACCACACTAGTAATTATTCAATTCTACTCCTTATGGGAAGTCAATAATTCCGTTCGGTTAATATTTAAGGTAATAAAAAAATCTATTTTTACAATTTTACTGTACTCTTCTTGTAACTGAAAGCATAAATTGCTTGCCAGGTTTTTACTGAATTTTATTCACCCTCATAGTTTTTGACCCTTAAGCCACAGTTAATGGGAAACATCCAACAAGCTACGCATTTACGCTAGATAAATGCGAAATCTTTATGGAAATACAAAAGAACTCTGCTAGATTTTTACTATATTTTTTCCAGCCTAGAAATTGTTTTCGTAGATACCCTAATTAAAAAAATTCTGAAATGTTACTCTGTGCTAACTAGTATTTATTTTTTAAATGTTTAAATATTGAAAATATGAAAATACTTAATTACACAAATTATAAATTTTAACTGTTTTAAAAAATTAACTCTAATTATAGTAGTGAATTCATGGCTAAGAGAAATCGAATTGTGAGGCCCTTTTATAAGTATAAAATATCTGAAATCAAGTTGAGTTTTAGTAAGTACATTGGAATATTTCATAGAATAATATTTACGAGGTAAGAAATATCCAAATTGAAATAATTATGTCTTTTACATTAACTACCTAATTGTAAAGGATGGTAGGTAAACCTTGCGCACCTATTGTTAAAAGATTAAAAGATTTGTATTTATTGGGTAAATCCGTAGACCTGAGCGAAGTGTACTTCCAATCAAGTAGTGGAGGCTGCAGTCTTAATCGGATTTTAGATTGATACCGCCCTCTTCACTATTATTTAACTTTAGCAATCAATTGCAAATATAGCGCCTCTTTACTGTTTCTTTGTCTATTTTTATGCTGAGTAGAAAAGTTTTTGAGTAATTTTTAATAGTAAACACCAGTACACATTTATCTACGCACGATTGCGTCTCTACTTGATGTTAACTCTTGAAATGTGAAAACATGCAGCGTGTTAGGTGAAAAATATGTAGATAGCAAAAAATAGTTAAAAGGTTAAAGCAAAAGTACAATACAAAAAAAATTAATAAAAACAAAATGAAAAAGACAGCAAATATTCGATTTCACGCAAACAAATCCTATGTATCTGTTGATACGTATTTCGACCTAATAGGTCTCATCAGAACAGCTATTCATAGGAGTTCTCAACGTGAAAAATCAATATTTTCTGCCTTTTAAGAAGCAACATTAAAATGGCTTCAATACGGACGCGATAGCGACATCTAATACAAAATCCCTAAAATAGTTTCGAAACACAATTCAGATTTTTGCTTATAATCTGAGCCTTCTAAAAATTGCAAGGCAAACAGACGTTGATAAAAGATGTTAAAAGGGACATGGGGAATCTAAAATTTGCATTCCACGACATGTCTTTTACAACTAAGCAGAAATCCTTAGCGAATTGTGCTTCTAGTACTCACACAGAGTAAATCCGAAATAAAATGAAAAAGAGAGCAAATATTCGATTTCACGATTTTAACATCTTGTATCAACGTCTGTTTGCCTTGCAATTTTTAGAAGGCTCAGATTATAAGCCGAAATCTAAATTGTGTTTCGAAACTATTTTAAGTATTAAAAATAACTTTTATAATTTTGTTTTGTCAGTTCAAAATTCAACCTAGCAGGATTATTGGCTTTTAATAGAGGGGTAAACAATTGTGAAGGCGGTAAATGAATTGGAAACTTTTTATAGCATACAGCGGTATTTTAAAATTACCTTTTTTATTTTAACCCAACCTACCACGGGTTAGTTGAGAGGCGAAAAATTAATACAAATCGAGCAGAATCATGTGGTATTTCAAAATTTTTATTTGAATTAACTAGCTTAATACTCGAGCTTCCGCTTAATATTCACTTTACAAAAGGGGTAGTTAAGAAGTGAAAAATTAATAGGATCGTAATAAATTTTAAAAACATATCAAAACACTGTGGTACTTCAAAAATAGATATTTTATTAATTCTGCGGGCTCGAATATTAAGCTAGCAGGAACGTTTCCACATAAGATTGGTTTATTATTAAAAAATTATCATGGTGATCAAGTTTAGTCTAAACTTAACAGAACAGTTTTTTATTTCAGTTATAAGTAGAGGAAAGTGAAATTGTAAAAGAATATTTTTTCACCTTAAATGTTAAACTATCAGAATTATTGGTTTTCCATAAGAAATTATAATGAAGCTCTCCAAAAAATACCGAAATATTGAGTTTACTAGAAAAAACAAAGATTTTTAATAGAGACTACTTTACCTGTGTATTTCCTACGTCTTATATATATATATATATATATATATATATATATATATATATAAATATATATATATATATATATATATATATAAATATATATATATATATATATATATATATATATATATATATATATATATATATATATATATATATATATATATTGTCGCGGTTTTCAAAGAATTAGTTTGTAAGCACTTTTAAAATTATCTTTATTATAATTATTAGTAAACACACATATATATCTAATTTTGATAATATTTAAATATAAATTTAAAACAACCTCTCTTTAAAATGAAATTCTTATAACAATAATTAAATTATGCTAACAAAATTTGGTACCTTTCTGTCACTGAATGCCTAAATGAAATTGTTTTCCAAAATCCAAATCCAAATGAAAGGTTTTAATCGCCACTCAATGTATCTGCCTCTGGTTATCCTTCTTTTAATGAAATCGTTTTCCAAAAATATACCACAATGTTTTTCTTCTTATTAACATTTATAAATGGGTATAATATTCTGTCTTTTTTATTAATAATTTATATATTACTTGCTATACTTTATTATTTCTTGCTTTCTTTCTATTTTTTCTTTCTTTCTTCTATTCAACAAACACTTGACTTTTTCCAAAAATGAATTGTTACAGTTTGACTTAATCCTCCTCTAATAATCTTTTTCTCTCTTCTAATGTCTATATAAATAATATAATTATTAATCTCCCACTACGCTCGAAGTGACAGCGTATTTGTAGATATTTCAATGTTCACGACTAATCTCAAAAGAAAAGAGGTTAGATTCTTCTATTTTGTAGATATTTTAATGTTTGCAAAAATTCTCATACGAAAAGAGGTTAGATTCTTTCTATTGACTCTTTTTTTTAAACTTCTAGATAGTTCTTTACTTTTATATTGAGAATTTTCTGGAAATTTAGGTTTTTTCAGATCAGAATGTAAACTTATATATAAATTAAATATCTTAAATTAGTAAATAACACTATTTTAATCCATAATTATTATTTCAAATGTCCACTTTCTTTCAGTTTTATTCACAAAATGTCCCAATATAACAAATTTACTCATCTTAATCTATTTATAATATCATAACTATCAAAATAACTAAATATATTGCAAAATAAAAACTTTTTAAACAAACTATTAGGATAATTTCGTAAGGATGTCCTTATATAAATACTTTTTATAATATTCTCTCTCTCTCTCTCTCTTTCTCTCTCTCTCTCTCTCTCTCTCTATATATATATATATATATATATATATATATATATATATATATATATATATATATAGATATAATTAAATATTTACCAAAATTTTTTAATTTAAATTTAAATTATTTAAGGCAAACATTATATCTTATATCTACTTTGAGTTTAAGCCATATAACTATTTTTCTTGATTAAGCACGCATATTGATAACATGTATTTAACTTTTAGGTAAATGTGTTGAAAATTCAGAGTATCATTCTTGCAAGGGATGTTGTCCAGAGCCAAGTTGTATTAGGGAGAAGGATCCACTATGTAGATATTGTCTCTTAATTTGTTATAGGGGCTGTACTTGCAAAGAAGGCTATATTAGACAGTATGATGACGGTCCTTGTATACCCATAAACGATTGCTAAAATAATCTTTTACTACATAATCCATATTTTTGGTTAGGCTTTCTCAATAAAGGAACTGTTATTGAAAATAATTTATTTTTACCTCAAGATTCAACACTTTTTATTCTACAATCTATATTTGTAATCTAGTAAGATTTGAGAAATATACAATTTATGAAAAACTGGACTGAAATAGAGAAAATCAATTTTTTAATTCAACTTAGCTCAGAGGCAGATGCGTCCTTTATCAAAAAAAAAAAAATCAAATTAAAATAAACAAAATCAAAAGTCTACTGAACAAATATAAAATCCGCTTAATCACTTCGCGCGCACTAGTAGTTCACAAAGTTTCTTTGTAGCGGTTTGTAGCAGTTTAAGTGATTCCCCAGAAAGCTGGCAACTCTAGGGACTATTGTCTTAACACATTAAGTGCTACTTCTGTGCCTGACAATATTTCGTGGAAATAAAAGTAACAACAATATGAAAGAACAAATAGATCGGTAGAAGCAGGCTCAAAAATTATTGACACTTCTGAGTTTAAAAATTAAAATATTTCAGGAATGACCAGAGTCCACTTCAGTTGTAAGTTTGTCTCTTCAAATATTAAGGTAATCGATATCTCGAGCGGAACAAAATCTTAAGCGGCGTCCTCATTGAGTCGACGTTGTCGATCGACTGTGTTTATCGACACTCTCGACTGAGTGTGTACGCGGCAATCGACTTTGTCGATCGACAAAAGATGTCGATCGACGTGTCGACTGGTTTTCCGTGCTCTGTCGGTAAAATCAAAGGGTAGTCGAGTCGAATCGGAAGTGTGTACGTGCATTCGACGTTCGACCTTCGACATTATATAAAAATACAGTAAAAATAATTCAGCGTGCGGTGTAGTCTGCCTCATTTAAAGTCTCGTGTTTTGTACTTGTTGGCAAAATGGAATGGGAAAAAGAAAAAGTGATTGCATTTATTGAAGCTTATAAATTAAAAACAAATCTATGGAACACTAGAAGCAAATATTATAAAGATCGAAACATGAGGCACGATGCTTTGATGGAAATTGCCAGTGAATTTAACATAGAAAAGCAAGTGGTAGAACAAAAAATAAAAAATCTTCAAAGCCAGTTAGCAAGAGAAATAAAAAAAAACAAAGGATGGCAATAAATCTGGCACTGGCACGGATGATGTGTACAAAAGTAAATGGTTTGCTTATGAAAGTTTAAGATTTTTACGTGACAAAAATAAGACCAGAGAGACGTTGGATTCAGAGGTATGTATAAATTAAATATATTTTACACCTACAATGTCTTTTTTATTAGGGTACATAATATTAATACACATTTTATCACTTTAAGTATTGCCAAGGCACTTCTCCTTCTGGTGTCATAAAATAGTCTCTTAACACGTTTCTCACATGTAAAGCACTCAGTGCACTTATTCTGGGTATTTTTGCTAAGTTTACTAATACAGGTTGATTACAAACTTTACTTCTCCAGGCTCCTGGAATCAAGTCTGTGGTGTCAGAATAGTCAGCATCGTATGTTCCAGGAGGATTGTAAATATTCCTGGATGCGCTTTTTCTAAGAAAGTTGTGCAGATAACATGCTGTTAAGATTATTTTAGAAGCAGTAGTCGGTTCTAATAGCATTGGTTTGCGAAAAACTCTAAATACGCTAGATATTATGCCAAAAACATTTTCTGATAATCTCCGGGAACTGCTAACGCGATAATTAAATACTCTTTCACTAGAACCTTAAGGGTGAAGCCCTGCATTAGGTTTCATTATGTTTGTAGACAGAGGAAATGCATATCTGCCACAAAAATGCATGGACTTTTTACATCACTCTTTGGAAGCAGGTCTTCCGCAGGCAAATGCATTGTATTCTCTTCAAGAAATTTATTGAATACAGTGCTACTAAACACACCACCATCAGAAATACGCCCTTGGCATCCCACATTGGCATAAATAAAATTATAATTTGCATCGACTACGGCAAATAAAACAATACTGAAGAATCCTTTGTAATTAAAAAATTCACTGCCGCTATTTATTGGGGCTTGCAATGCTACGTGTTTTCCGTCCATAGCTCCGACACAGTTTGGAAAGTTCCAACGATTGTAATAGTCCTCTGCAATAGCTTTCCATTCTGCCTCAGTTTTAGGCATCTGAAATAAAAAGACCTATTTATTTTTATTATCTAACCTATTTAATTTCTAATTAATCTAATATATATACTCTTGATTACAGGTTTCAACTGAAGTAGATACTTTGAAAGATAAAGGAGATGTGAATGACATCACTGAAAATGATGAGAATAGTCACGATTTTATTACCACAAATGATTCAACAGAAAACAATCTATCAGAATGTAATAATGCAAATGCTGGAAATGCCGAAAAAGTTGAACGCACAAAGAAAAACACAAGTCCGAAAAAACAGTTCAAGTCACCAAATCTTGACCATGTGCATTCCAAGAAAAGGAAAGGTGATGACCTAATGGTTAATGATGCATACAGGATGATGACACAGGTGTTTTTGGACAGAAATAAAAAGGACGTCTTTAGCGTATTTGGAGAAGAAGTTGCTGTTACATTACGAAATTTGCCTACCGCTTATGCTCAAGCTACAGTGCAACACATGATAAGCACGATTCTGTTTGAAGGAAAATTGGGCAATTACAACTATCCAATATCACAACAGCCACCACCGCAATATTATCCTCAGCATCAGCTCCAGCAGTATCCTCTTGGTTCAATAACGACTTTAATACCGCAACCATCCCCAGAGCATTCTTCATGTTCTTCTTTTACTAACCCCTCAACTCCGGCAGAATCAGGTACTGAAGATGACGAAGCCATAGATAATTTAATTCAACAACTACAACGTCTGGGACGTGGCACTTCACAATAAGCACAGTAGATATAACCAGCATTATTTTTAATTTTGTGTTTGATACGTACATTTATTTTACGTTTTTTTACTGATTTACGTTTTTTAGTTGTGATAATAACAAATGCGGCACAAACAATAATGGCGTCATCTTCGTCACACATTTTCGTTTCGACTGTCGACAAATATTCTGCCTACCTGGTGTGGACATCGAAGCTTTTTCGATTTGTCGGACGACAGTGTCGATAGACAGAGTCGATCGACAATGTTAACTCAATGAGGACGCCGCTTTAATTATTATTAAACACCTAGTTCGACCTCAGAGACAGGAGATCAGGAAAAAAATTATCTGTTGAAACGTGGACTTAAGAAAAATCGCCAAAACTGATTTTTGTATTTAAAACAGAAAGTGGTAAATTTTGGTATTTAAAACTGGTACTAAATGGCGTGGACTAAGACTGGTAATAATTTATTCCTGCCTTTTTTTAATATAATTTATTATGTTTATAAGTAGTAAGCTTGTGGATTGTTAAATTATTTATTATTTAGTATTAAAAAAAAACGAAGACTCAAGCGGTTAGGACTACCAAGTGTTAATGTTTGTATTTTGAGAAAGATTTCCGAAGTGACAATTGAAACTTCAATAAACTTACTTTAACCTTCAATTGTGGCTTATCTCCATTAAAATATAAATTACTTTAAAATGCCACAAGAAAATAGCTTCAGAACAATATGAAATAATATTCACCTGGAGATTCGATATGAATTTTTTTATGTTGTAATCTGAAAAATATTCTCGCATGTTGCCCAAATCCATTTTCAGTATTATGCTTAGTATGATTTGGGCAACGATAATCAATCAAAACAAAGTGTAGGATTTTACAGCGACCGTTAGCAAGTCCAATATTCAGTTCGCAAAAGAAAAAAACATGAGTGATTTTGAACTAATGGGATCAATATACGAGCTGTTGAGAATCAGAGTGGTGTAAGTCAGTTTTTAATCAATTTGAGATTTTTAAGTGTTTGTTAGAACCTGTACAAAAAATCCCCTTATAGTTTAAAGCAAAAGAAATTACCTTTTTGTTATCACAAAGTGTTACTTTTTTTATTAATATAGGTTTTATATACCTATTGTTTACCATAAAAAAAATAAAAAGGGCTTAAATGACTTACACCACTACCATCCTAAACACAAATAGGGATTGAATAAAATAACTGACTTACAGTCTGTCCCAAACCCTTCTTTCAGTGCGTCACTAATTTTGACGTCATATAGGATTTTAAGAATGTCGAAAATTATTGCATGACATTTTAGTTAAATCTTAAAGTTGCTGGATCGTAATCGGCTAAATGTGAAAAGGTTGTTTTTTTTTTAAATATGAAATAAAAACTTTAACAATTCAATTTTTTTTTTAATTTACATATTAGAGGTCCCGTTCTGTATATAAATTTTTATTGCGCATTATATTGGAACGGGAGTTTGTCATAATTCCTATTCTATATATTTCAAGGAAAGTGCATAATTAGCTAAGATTTATTTATGTATTTATTATTATTTATTACAAACACTATGGAATTCGAATGTTTGTTTATTTAAACTATCGCTTCCTCCTAGAATCTTTCTAAGAGTTGACAGCGAGATAAAAATTTTTACTAGCAATTGCAAGGGATCAAGGCAAACATTCCTGTGATAAAATAGCATTAGACTAGCAAAATAGCAGCCTATTTTTATAATTGAAAATAATTTGATAATTTTAATATTATTCTTTGCTCTTTCTCGGTATATCCCGGCATATTTAAAATATTTTTATGACAATAAATACAAAATTAAATTTTCACTGTTAAATATCTGAAAATACTAACCTAGAATGACAATTATCATTTTATCAGTTGACATTGTGAAAGTACTGTCACTGTCACCATCTGCGTCAAATTATATTTATGCGCATCATTGATTGGATATCTATTAGTTTATTCTAAACTACAACCAATTATACATCCGTAAGTAGAATTCGCTTTAAAATGCAAGTACCTGTGAACGAAACATAATTTTCTAAGTTCTATGTATAATAATCACAGACTCACGTTTTTTCTGTCACTTCTAGCTTAATGCGTTAGAGAGAATTCGATCAACTATGACGTACTGAAAGAAGGGTTTGGGAAGGACTTTACCTTATTGAATAATAAACTGTATTGCTTAAAA